TCTAATCCTTTGCTCAAGCAGGAGACCCTATACCATTTCAGACCAATGATTCTCCAATCTCTTCTTTAAAACCTCCAGTGATAGAGCACCCACAGCTGCTGAAATCAAGCTGATTCATTAATTAATTTTTCTAACTGTCAGGAAATGTCTCCTTATTTCTAGTTGATTTTCTTCTTGATTAATTGCCATCCATTGTTTCTTGTTCTGCCTTCCCTTACTATGGCCAATCTTAATACAAGTAATTCTAATCTTCCTATGGAGTTGATTTCTTAGTCTGGTTTATGCAGTAGGCCAAACAGTTCTGCAGCCTAAGCCAAAATGGCCATGTACAGTTTAGGTTTTTAAAAATTTAGATTAGATTAACAGAATTGGAAAGGACCTTATAGGTCATCTAGTCCAACCCCTCATCCAAGCAGGAGATCCTGGCCTACACCATTTCTGACAAATGGCAGTCCAATCTCTTCTTGAAAGCCTCCAGTGATGAAGCTCCCACAACTTCCGAAGGCAAGCTGTACCAGTTGGGAGTTGGGAGGGCTTACACAGCTTAAAATGTCCAATAAAAGCTGAGCACATTTTGTGTCAATGATAGATTCTAGATTGTGTCGATGGCAAAAATTGGGTAGGGAGAAGAGGAAAAACACTATTTTTGAACTGGAACAGATCTATTCTTTTGCTATGGATTGGTATCAGAAAGAAGGCAACTTCATGAGGACATGTCGTTTAAAATTACTACAACTGGAGCCTTTCACAATACCAATTAGGTTGGGATCTTAGCAAGGGTTATGCAAAGGTAATACAATACAATAGCAGAGTTGGAAGGTACCTTGGAGGTCTTCTAGTCCAACCCTCTGCCTAGGCAGGAAACCCTATATCATTTCAGACAAATGGCTACCCAACATCTTCTTAAAGACTTCCACTGTTGGGGCATTCACAACTTCTGGAAGCAAGCTGTTCCACTGATTAATTGTTCTGTCAGGAAATTTCTCCACAGTTCTGTTGCTTCTCTCCTTGATTAGTTTCCACCCATTGCTTCTTGTTCTACCCTCAGGTGCCTTGGAAAATAGTTTGACTCCCTCTTCTTTGTGGCAACCCCTGAGATATTGGAACACTGTTATATTTTTATGTGTTTATGTGTTCAAGCTGTCCAAACCTGAAATTATACTTAATAATTAATAACGAATCAATGTGTTATTAAATGGTATTTAAAACTAATTATATATAAGGCAATCAATAAGCAGATGACAACTTACAGTGAATTTAGCACAAAGAATATTTGTGGAAAGCAATCAGGTAAGAAGCAGTAAATAATCTACAGATAATTTAATACATTCAATTCAATGAGAGAAAAACAAAGACTGAGTTCAAAAAAATGCAGGTTAACTTTAATGAAGCATACACAGAGTTCTGCAAAAAACAATAAACAAGCAAACAAATAAATAAATATGTAATGTTAAAGCTCCTTGCTGCAGCAACTAAGGAGAAAAGGTTTCAAATTTCTTGTCACTGAAATAAGGTAAAATATTTTACATTCCCACCCACATGGACATCCTTTTTTTGAGGTTGTGGGACACAACTTAACTTGTCAAAGAGGGAACAGGTTGCCTTCTTGGTAACTAAAGTGGGAAAGGATTTCTGGTTTAAGAAGCAGGAAAAAATACTTATCTTTTGCTGCACTGGAATATATTTGCTGGCTTGTGATGAAGACCCTTTTGCTTCTTTCAGATTAAAGAGGAAATATAACTAAGAAAAAGAGTTGTTCAACTGAACAAGAATTTCTCCTCCATCCTGAATATTGTATTTGAGAAACATTTTTGCACTTTTCTTGGGGAAATTAGCAAATTAACCAAAACCAACTTCTCACATAGGATTTGAAAAAAGAAACATTAAATGCCAAGCTGAAGGGGGGGGGGATGTTTTTTCCTGGGCTGAAAGGAAGAGGGAAAAAGATGGAGATTCTTTAACATGATGATTGGTGAGAGGCAGGAGATTATTCAGGATGATCCCATACAAAAGAAACCGTTTGATCAATAGCAGCTAGAGAAGATAAATTGAACCATGGAATTATCAATCCTCTAATGCAGGAGTGTTCAACTCGATTTCATGAGGGCTGCATCAGGGTTCTATTTCACCTGGCGGGGACAGGGGGCATAGCTAGCTCGATCCCACTTGTATCATGGACCCCTGTGGTGGCCTGAATGCTCTGCCATCGAAAACAGGCTCCCGAGCTCCATTTTCAGCTATGACAGTTTTCTGCAACCCTCTGTCAGTGAAAATGGAGCTCGGGAGGGCTGCCCGCAGCCCTTGTGAGCTCCATTTTTGGCTACGACAGCCTCGTGCAACCTTCTACCAGCATATACAGAGCTCAGGAGAGCCACAGGCTGGGTGTTTGCTGTTTCTAGGTCAGCCCGATGGGCCAGATCTAAGCACCCTGTGGGCTGGATCTGGCCCATGGGCCTTAAGTTTGACACCTGACCCAATGTCTGTTTTCTTAATATTTGGCATGAGAACCTTGTAGTTATGTAGATAGTTACAAATCTTACTTAGTAACTAAAGGTAGTCCTTTAGCTTCAATTAGGACTAGAATTTCTGTTGCTAAACAAGGCAGTTATTAAGTGAGTCATGCCCAATTTATTGACCTTTTGTACCATTTTGAGTGATCACTAAACAAATGGTTGTAAGTTGAGCATTGCCTGTGGTACAGTTTTTGCCCTTTAAGCAGAGGTGGTATTCAGCAGGTTCTCACCAATTCTGGAGAACCAGTAGCGTAAATTTTGAGTAGTTCGGAGAACTGGTAAATACCACCTCTGACTGGCCCCACCTCCCTGCTGCCTCCCGAGTCCCAGCTTATCGGGAGGAAATGGGGATTTTGCAGTAACCTTCCCCTAGAGTGGGGAGGAAATGGAGATTTTACAGTATCCTTCCCCTGCCATCCCCACCAAGCCATACCCACAGAACTGGTAGCAAACATTTTTGAATCCCACCACTGCCTTTAATCATATCTTCAAATAGACAAATATCACTCAAAGGGTGTGTGTGGGGGGGAAACTTTGAGGAACGTAGGTGGGGGCAGAGGCTAGGAATTGTATTTTTGCCCAGCAAGTCTCTCTTTTAAATTGTTGTCTATCTTTACCCAATATATCTGGAAGCTTCCTGTCAAATTCTCTTTCTAAAAATTTCCCTCTGCAACAGAGAGAGCTAATGCTGTACCCAAGAAGTAGCTTTCAGCAAGACCTCATTGGTTTGGCTAAAATATTATGGGCATTCACTGTCTCCATTCCTATTTCTTTAATTTTTTTCTTGCTGTAGGAAAGAATGAGAAAGAAAGTAATTAAGGGTAGATAGAAAGTAAGCTACAGATTGGGAATATTAAAGGACTATTGGAAGGATGAGAGAAGAAGTTTAAAACTGAATCTAAAATTACAAAAACACAACAAAAAAGCATATGTTTAAAAGTCATATGATGGAAGAAGCAGGGATATACATAATATATAATGGAGTTCAGTGTCATCAGTTTTGGTTAAAAAAATTTCTTCTGGGAATGAACAAAGTTTAGGCAGAAAATATGAATATTTACTTAATACCTTATTTAATGCATGCAAATATCCTTCTGTAAATCTTCCACTGTCTTTTATTACTGTAATTCAACAATCAGCTATGAAAATAGGGAGATTGAGGGGGTATTTAAAAAGTCTTGGGGAGAAAATTCAAATTTCATCTCATTTTATTTCTGGCATGGCCACAGTCAAACCTACAGCTGAGCTAAGAGAACAAATCATCTTTGTGCTAAAGTTAGATGAATGTGAGGATAAATGCAAAAAAAGCCCACCTTGTCACTAAACCCAGTGTTTGAATGTACAATATTTATTTCTTAGTAATATATCCTGTGCTTCATTCAGGAGTTTGAGGCAGCATACATAATGCTCCCTCATCTTGTTCTCTACAACAACCCAGCGAGGTAGGATGAGCTAAGAGAGTAGATAGCCTGGAACTTCAGTGATGTATATAATGAGGCAGAAGGGCAAAGGGCAAAGTAGATTTGACTCAATTGTGGTGGCAGTGTGTAGCTTTGCCCAGATACCATTTCTGAAAGATTAAAAACAAGATGCTTTCAATGACAGTTTTGCTTGTAATATTTCCACATGTGTTGCTGGTTGGAATCGGGGCAAACAATATACCACCCACTTCACAATATTGAATGGGGGGAGGGGGGAGGGAGACTCGCTTTTTCTTATTAGAAACGGCACGATAAGATTAATCAACCAGGCCTCGTTTCACCCAAACACCCTTAAGCAACTAGATCTCTCGCAGTTGGGGCATCGCAAACAAATGGGCGGCGGGGGTGCGGGTGGCGTGAGAATCGATGGGGGCGAGGGCGCGTGGAGGGGGGATGTGGGCTGACTCTGAAGGATGGGTTGATGGTAGATAGACAAGCGCTTCGCTGATCGTGCATGTAGCGCCGGAGAAAGCAATGCGGTGGAAGGCCAAGCTGTGGTGGGACTCGGGGGCTATTATTGGAAAACTGCTCTTCTCCCTCCCGCGCTGTTCCGCCGAGGCTTCCCCCGCCCCGCACCACAAACCCAGCCTCCGGAGCCAGAGAGGGAAAGATAGGGCTGGGTAACAACAGTGCCAGGGGCTCCGGCGGGGGATTTGATCTGAAGTAACTTGCCCCGGCGGCTGCCGCCCAGGGAGCCTTGATTGGCGTAGACCTGCTGGAAGCGGCGCATCCATCACCAGGCTGAGCCACAGCAGAAGTCACCGGCCGCTCCTGCAGGAACACAAAGACGGGCGGGTAGCGGGGAGGTTCTCGGCTGCCGCCGGCCGCCCAGCTTCACCTTTCCTCTGGCAAGTAGCTCTGCATCTCCCCCCCGCCAGCCCGCCCCCGAAGAGACCAGCGAGGAGGACACGCCGCCTCCACGCCCTGATGCCTGGACCACCATTGCGGAAGGGGGGGAAGGGGAGTGGACGGGAGAGAAGAGGGGAGCCCTGAGCCCACAGGCCCGTCCTTGATCGATCGGTTGCTCCCGCTGCCTCTTCTGCCTCCCATCCAAAGGAGTTACTGCCTCGGCTGATGGATGCCGGAAGGTGCCGCATTGCCTGGTGTATGTTTGTTGGCTGCTTGGCTGGTAGGCATTACTTGGCTGTTCCTTTTTGTCTCTGAATGCCTTTCTTCCGGCGGATGGCTTGGATCCCTGCGAGGCGACCAGACCTGCTCCGTCAGTGAGTGAAAAAGATCCAGATTTCACCCCCGGCCTCTCCCCGATCTTTCCCGTCCCCCTTTTTCTAGAGGCGAAGGAGAGGGACGGACAGCAGCTTGCTGGTACTAGATGAGGTCACTGTGTAAGTGGACAAGGGGGTGGAAATCCGTACCCTGCTCCGGAGATTAAAAAGCTTGAGGGGAGGGAGGGTATCTGAAGAAGCAGCTAATTGATTAGATACAATAATCCAACTTATCCAGCTGATCAGCACATGCCTCTTGAACCCTACCATGCATTGATTTTTAAATGCTATACAGGAATGGCTCAGAGAGAGTGAGGGAGGCAGGGGGAAAAATCACCTTTGCTGAAAGCTCGGAATTAGATTTTATTTATTGAAATTGCAGTTGTTTAGCTATTTCAGCAGCGGCAAGGTGAAGATCTCTAATTTGCAGGTAGAAGTGGGTGGAAAATATTAGCCTGTCCCTGTGGTGGAGGAATTAATTACCTCAACCCCTTCTGCACTCCAGGCAAAGTCACTGTACGGCTGTTTGGCCTTGTTCTTGCTGGCATCATAATGCTGATCTGTATCTGCTGATCAAGGCATTTTATTTTAGTGGGGTGTTGTTGTTTTTGCTCACCCGGTTGTTTAAACCACTACTGAATGGGAAGGAGGAAGCTCCATTCTCTCTACTTGGGCCCTGTCAGAGCCATTATTTCTAGCCATCAACAGGCAATTGCTGCAGAAGGAGAGTAATTGGGTTCAATTATATGTGAGTTATAGTTTTGCTGCAGCTTCAAGCGGAGGACAGATGTTGGAAGGGTGGGATTTGGTGCTGAAAAAGGAAAGCAGAGCAACAGTATAGTGTGTGTATAGTTAATTAGGATATGGAAAGGGTAGATTGGGATTGAGGCCCATATATTAATTGAATCATATTAGGCATTAGTGTTGGAGAGATTGGCAGCAAAGAATTACCTAACTTGTTAGATACTAGAAATGGAAGAGAGGGTTTCATAAATTAAAACAATAGAACGGATTTCAGGCTTCGTGGCAGTTTGGAGGTTCCACCCCTTCTTCTGTAGTAGAACCACCACTATTGGACCAAGTGGCACAATGACTCATTTGCAGGCAGGTCTGTCCCCAGAGACCCTGGAGAAGGCCCGATTGGAACTGAATGAGAACCCAGACACTCTGCACCAGGACATCCAAGAAGTTCGGGACATGGTGATTACCCGACCGGACATTGGCTTTCTACGCACAGATGATGCCTTTATTCTTCGCTTCTTGCGGGCCAGAAAGTTCCAGCATTTTGAAGCGTTTCGCTTGTTGGCCCAATACTTTGAATATCGTCAGCAGAACCTTGATATGTTCAAGAGCTTCAAAGCCACTGATCCAGGCATCAAGCAAGCACTCAAGGATGGCTTCCCAGGAGGGTTGGCCAACCTTGATCATTATGGCAGGAAGATCCTGGTGCTGTTTGCTGCCAACTGGGACCAAAGCAGGTAAAGGTTTTAAACTCATGGGGAGGGGGGAAGGTAGGGTAGGCTAAGATGCTCACCTGAATCCACCATAGTGCTGCAGTCTATATGTTTGACATCATCATAATGGGTTCAAATTGCCTTTGATGTCAATGATATTCCATTCCAAACTTATGATAGGAATAGGAACCTGTATTTGATTCTAATGTGCAGGAGTCAAACTGATATATTTGTAATCTAGGGGAAGGAGTACATTAATTTTTAAAAAGTTCATCCCAAACTTGATATTCTGTGATGGCAAAAAACAATGTGCACAGATCAGGTGGGCCCATGGACCTTCGATCATAAGATGATGGTGAAAACAATGAATGGAAACTGATTTTAATAGACTTTTTCATCTATAACTTTTTTTTGGGGGGGGGGAGTTTGGTTTCTCATCAGTGACTAATGAGAAGTTCATTCTCAATTATTCAGTTATTTTTTCCTGGGACCTGAATAGGTAATAATGCAATTAACAATTTGTCACCTGATTTGCCAACCATTTATTTATTCAAAAACTTTATAACTTGCCCTAGATCCAATTGATTCCAGGCTAACAAACAACAATAACAAAATATTGAAACAAAAGTACAAGTATAAAAAACAATGGGAATGGCAAATTAAAAGACAACCAAGGATAAAGTTGGCGAGCAATCTAAGACAGTGGATAACAATCCTTGAAACTTAATTCTAATTTAAAGTTGTAATGCTGGTGCCAGTTGGGTATCTCTGAGAAGTTCATTCTTGAATTATTAGTTTTTTGATGTATCATACTTAGAACTGCCCTTCTCCTTCATAGTGGCCCTGGGTGGTGTATAAATAATCACAAAAACATAAAAACCTATAAGTAAACATTACAATAAAACAGTTAAAAATAAGAATGAAATAATTAAAATTCAAAAGGCAAGGGAAGGACTTCAGAGCGCTAACCATCACTATGGTTGCGTGCTCCTCTGTTATCCCCAAGCGAGTTGGCAGAGCCAACTCTTCAAGCATTTCCAAAAGGCCAAGAAAGTGTCTCTGGGGGAAGAATGTTCCAAAGGGCAGGGGCAATGGCAGGGAAGGCTTTCTTCCTGCCAGTTGAAAATTTTTAACTGCTGGGATCTGCAGCCTATCGTCCTGCCTGACCGAGTGGGACCATCCAATATAATGGGCAATAGATGACTTGTCAGGTGATTTGGCCTGTAGGGCTTTAAAAGTCATAATCAACATCTTGAATTGGTTCTGGAAGCAAACTGGCACCCAATGCAGCTTGGACAGCTGAGGTGTTAAATGCAACATCCTTGGAACTCCCAATATTGCTCATGTGATCGTAATCTATACCAACTAAAGTATCCAGGTAATTTTCAAGGGAAGACCCATGTAGACTACATTGCAGTATTCCAGATGGGAATTACCAGTTACCAGGGTGTGAGTGACAGAGCAAAGTACCTGCTTATCGAGGAAAGGTCATAATGGATGCACAAAGTGCAGTTGAGCAAAGACCCTCCTAGCCACAACTGCCACCTGCTCTTCAAGCAAGAGCTGTGAATCCAGGAGGACACCTAGACTGTCCACCAGATCTGCCTGGGTAGTGCAGTCCCATCTAAGACCAAAAATGATAAACTCCTAGGTACAGAGGGGTTCCTCACCCACAGCCACTCCATCTGACCAGGGTTCTGCAAAAGTCTCTGGTTACCTATCCAGACCTCCACAATTTCCAGGCATCTCAATTTAAGCCTCGGTCATTGAGGCAAAAATAATGTGAGAGAAATAATGTCTTGACAATGTTGTTACCCATGTTGCTGTTTTCTACTTTTCCAAATGAACTAGGTTTCCCAATGTTTAGCAACACCTATAAAATTTAAATGCAGATTTTACGTCTTTTCTTTCTTGGCAGATTCAGTATCAGCTTCTTTACCAGAAACAGTAATATTAATATACAAGGACTTACCTATGAAACAGAAAAACAATATGCTCAAACCTGCTTTAACAACATATCTGTTAATTTTAATGTCCATCCAATTTGTTCTAGCAACATGATGCATTTTGTGAATGTCACAAAGCCTAAGGTCCGTCCAACTTTGAGTTAGAGAGTTCTGATTCATGAAAAAAACTTTTATGCCATCCTATCCTCACTTCTCATTGATACATTTTACTTCCTTGAAGGAGCTCAAGGCAGTATACATGGTTCTCCTCCTTTTTTATCTTTTACAATAGTCTCTTGAAGTAGGTAAGCACTTGAGGTTGGTTCAAGGTAGCTTGCTACTTGAAATGAAATGGTAAATGTCATGTTTTCCCTCTCCCTCACTTGCTCTCCATCAAGGATCACAATACGCCAGAATGATTGAATTAATTGGGCATTTGTGGTCCATAATGCTTGTTTCTTTCTTCTGAGAGGTCAATACTTTATAATACAGTATTACAGTATTATACAATACTGTATAATAAATTAAATGCAGTAACTAACAAACAATATCCTGTCTTTCCTATCATAAAAGCCATTACCTGAAAGGATTGCCTGGAGTACTTACAGTAGACACAGAGTCTGCCTTGGAAGATTGAAAGAAAACGAATGTCTCATTTAGGGGTTTCATTATTGGATAGAGAAGCAAGGAAAGTTGCAATGCATGATATAACCCGCCCCTTTTTGACTATATTGTGATGTCACATGCACAGACAGTAGGGGTGGAGCTTATGGCACAATGCCACAATGTTGCTTTCATCATTCTGACACCTCTTGGCCTCATATTAGTAAAGAAAGTTTCATCATTCTAGTGAAAACATCAAGCTCCAGTGGGTGTGGCTATGATTGGAGTAGTGATTTAAAACCAGGACATTGTAGGCTAGGGTTGTCAAACTCCAAAACCACAGGCCGGATGTGTCACACGCTGGTGACGCCCCTGCCTGATTTCGCAAAGTGGGGAGGGAGTCCCAATACGTCATGTGATGACGCCGTGACAATGTGAGTTTGACACCCCTGTTCTAGACTGATTTTATAGTGTTTACTCTGCTCAAATTAAAAATGTTATTGTATCTGCACACAATCCAGAGGTCTCTTTATAGAACAGTTCTTTTCTTTTGACCATGACTCACTTTATATTGGCATATTATGGCTTCTGGGTGACCTGAATAGTGTATGAGTTTGAAAATAGGGTTCCACCTCCTCTGATGTTGGAATCAGAATTAATTACCCAGAGTAATGCCCTATTTCAGATGCTGCAATTCCTACATGGGATCTTTATAGCAGGGTAAAACACATGGTATAAAAATACCTGTTGAATTGAGCCTTTTCTTAATAATCATCATTTTGCTCAGGGGAATATGATTGGGCTGCTGTTATATAAAGGGCAAGAAACCATAGTAGTTTGCACAAGTCTTGCACTCACTTTTGTACTTTTGATCTAGTTTCTTGAAAAAGCAAGAACTGTGACTCAGAGGCACAGAGTCTGCCAATGAAGTACCTTAAAACTGATTGTGTGCCATCAAGTTGGTGTTAACTCTTAGTGACCACATAGGTCATCCATTATGATCTGTCCCTGGCCTTGTCTTTCATATCTTCCAATGATGTACACATTGAAGCTGTAACTATCTTAAAATAATTGATGCATTCTCAATAAAACAGTCTGCTAAAACGTGATTTAGTCATGAGCAAGAGAAAGCTGATGGATTAAAAACAGAAAGAAAAAGAAAACCAAATCAAATAAAAAAAATTATAGCAGGGAACTGAACTATCAACTCCAAGAAATGTCATTATACTTCTGTAGTCCTGACAAGATTAGTTTGATTTCTACAGCATTTAGATTTCTTTCTCATGCTTATCCTATATCTGTCTTGGAATATTAGATGGGTGAAATTAGAGAATGTATCATATTGGCGTATTCTTCTGGAATGTCTCTTTTGCTGTGGATGGATATGCCTTAGCAATGCATTTTCAAAGAAAAAGTCAGGTCTACATATGTTAGGGCTTTGCCCTCCTATCTTACCTGACATATGTCTCTTCTTTTTCCCCCCATGTAAGCTGGAATATCTTAGATGTTTCTGTTCCATCAGTTAACTTTTCTGAGTCTTTTCATGTCCAAGATAAAAGAAATGTGCTTGTCAGTAAATTTATTATGCATGCATAATTGTCTGTTGGGTCATAATTATAGTGAAGTGACAGTTGATTGTAAAAGGAATAAGAACTATGATATAGACAATCTATTGCTACCACTATCAGCTTCTCATTTGAATAAGTCAAATTAGCAAATTCCTATTCCAATTAAGTTGGAAATAGATTTTGTAGAACACTTCTGTCTCTCACACATCCATACATAAATTGTAGACCATGTCCTTGTGCTAAACATTTAAAATTCAAGTTGAGTGGTAGGAAAAAGAATGTATCTTTGACATGGAAATCTATAAAAATGACATGAGAAATAGAATTCAACAGATTCCGTTTCTCTCATCAATACATATTTATGCTTTAAAAGCACAGCAGGGAATCTTCTAGGCTAAACAAAAATCTTAGAGAATTCTAAGGTGGAGTCCTTGGTGCTTTCTGAGCTTCAGTTGTTTGCTTTTAGATGTTTTCATAACCCAATGAGCAGAGGTGGGTTGCTCCCGGTTCGGACCGGTTCAGCCGGATCGGTAGTGGCAGTGGCAGGAAGCTCTGCCCACCCGCCTAGATGCTTCTGCGCATGTGCAGAAGTGTCACGCACATGTGAGAGAGAAAGCGTGCGCATAAGTGAACAGGTAGTAAAACCGGTAGAAACCCACCACTGCCAATGAGGTAACATCATCATCACTGATGATTCTATGTGGTTGTGTAATAAAATATCTTCAAGCAAACAATCAAGATCATCAAGAACCCCATAGTTCAACAGTGAGCTACATATATTTTCTTCTAAAGAAATCTAAGTAGAAATCTTCACTTACCAAGGTTTGTGTATAATAGTCACACAGCAGTGCTGTGCAAAGCTTTGAAGATATGCTTTGCTCTAATCGAGACATTCTGTAAGGTTATC